ATTTTGAACTATTGACTACTTGATCATGATGATGTTAAGTGTAGATTCCTTTGATGTTGCATTGTCGAGTCTACGGCTGTGCTATCCCTTCTTTTGTGTGGCTGTGTGCGCTCATGGTGCATGTGTGTGTTTGTAGATTCATGTGGTGGCTGTGCCAGGCTCTTTTTCAGTTTTATTGGTGAGACACCTCCAACCATAACCTCTTTATATCTGCTGATTGGTTGGTTCAACCATCGTGTCACAACCAACCAACATGCAAAGCTGTATGAGGTGCTGTTGGTCTCTGCATGGAACATTTCTTCCTTCTGTCAGGTTATTGTGGCTAGTATGAAAAAGGCTAGCATGCTACTATGGAGCATTCAGACAACACAATAGTAAATTACAGTGTTTGCATGGTTAATGCATGTATTCTAGGACCTTGAATGGTGCCCAACCAGGTTTGGATTCTTGTGTATGCTTTGGTCCCCATATCATCTTATCATTTCATGTATTTGGCAGCTTAAGTGGAAAAATATTTTTATGTATAACAAAGCAATTTTAATGGCGTAAGCTGTCATTGAGGAAGGATGAAGATCCATGCTAAGGCACATGTACCTTACCTGAGTCCAACCGAACCTTTCAAGCAGGCCACGATCATCAATCAGTAATCAAACAAACTGGACGTTGGGGCATGGGCACAAGTAAGGAGTAAGCACAGAGCTTACAGCACAGAGGCTGTCAGCTGATATGCTTTCGTTTCCACTCACTATTTCTTACCTGAACAACTGCCTTGGTTCCAATCACCTCGAGGACCTGCCCGCTCCTCTTGGTACCATCTGGCAAGGTCAGGTGAACAATCTCAGCATACCTGGGGAACTAATTCAAAGAGATTCAACACTGTTACTACAGCAACAGAAAAACACATTTTTATCATTGTTATAAAAGAGCACATGAATGCAAGAGATAATAAAGTGCTGATTTATACTGACTTCTGCAAACATTTGGAGTTTACCGAGCGACAGCGCCACTATTTGCAACCTAATTAATACATATTGTAAGAGGATTTGCACAATAGATGAACGAGTATTAGCAGCACCACGGACAGACAGCCTGATGAAAACAGAATTTCTTTGCAGCCTTACCTTCACATTATCCAGGATCACCAGGGGTCCATTTACACCCGATACAGTGGAGTAGGCTGGAATAGAGAGACAGGTTACTCATTTCTGAACCTCAACAGGCAGCAGAACAGGAAAATAACACACAATACTTCAATTTCCTTCTGCAGCGAGCCACCTATCATCAGTGCAATAAGCAGACTTCTCCACAGCCAAAACTGCTAATCACCGCAGGCTGACCTTTTGCTGTGAGAACAATTTTACTGCACTTTCAGCCCTAAAATGTCACAAAAAGCCAAATGTCAGGTCAAGAAATGGAGGAATTTTACATTGTTCGATTACACCGTCACACAATCAATCACACGAATCAATCACACGAATCAATCAAAGCGTACGACTCATGAGAACCGGAGCAGATGTTATATACATTAAATACTTCATATTCGGGTTCTCGCAATATTACAATTTCAAACTCAACACTGAGATCCACA